CAATAAAATTATATCCGATTTGCAGTCAGGCTTTAGAAAAGGGCACAGCACAACCTCTGTTTTATTAAATATATCTGATGATATATTTTCAAGTCTAGATAGAAATTTGGCTTCTGCATTGGTTCTCCTGGATTTTTCTAAGGCTTTCGACACAATAGATCACAATTTACTTATTTCCAAACTGGAATTTTATGGTTTTGACGATATTTCATTAAATTTTTTTGTGTCATATCTTGATAACAGACGCCAAAAGGTCATCCTTGGAAATGAATGTTCTAGTGCTTGCCCTATCACATCAGGTGTACCCCAAGGAACAGTCTTGGGACCTATATTATTTTTAATATATACCGCGGATATTTTTCACTGTGTAAGTAACTCTAAGATCCAGGGTTATGCTGATGATAGTCAGCTATTGTATTCCTTTAATCCTACACAAATAAAGAGTGCATGTGATAACCTTAATGCCGATCTAAACGCAATCGCTAGGTATTCTAAAGAAAACAACTTGAAACTCAATCCTTTGAAATGTGCAGTTATTTGTTTTGCTTCCAAAAAATCCAGGGAATTTGTAAAATCCAATTTAAATTTAAAAATTAATGATAAAGATGTTCAGATTGTAGACAAAATCAAAAATTTAGGAATAATATTTGATGAAAATCTCCGATTTCTTGATCATGTTAATTTGTTAATAAAAAGGTCTTATATAGCTTTTAAAACTGCTTTATGCAAACATAAGCTTAATAAACTTCAAAATGAGAAAAAAACTATGTGAAGCTTTGGTATTACCTATTTTAAATTACATCACAATCACATAAAACATGAACATCAAATAAAAAATACCGCTAAATAAAATGAAATGCAGTGTAATAAAATGCAAATAATACACTTTTGTGATGTAAAAATTTTCGGATTTTTTTGTCCAATTTCCCATAAAAACTCCTAGAGGCACTACAAAAGGGACACAGCTGTGTGAGATAATTTTTATTCCACTTAACTTTCTTTGTTAGCGAATGACGGTTTGGCAGGAAAATATAAGAGAATGAGATGATTATAGAAATATTTTAATTATTAGAGGTGCTTACAGTCGGATTAAATACGGCTGGGCTTATTAATAAATAAATTGGCTCTTTGATTAAATATACACAAGCGATTTAACTGCCAGAGGCCACACCTCTTTCCAATCATGTAGAGACCACACGGGTGCAAATATGGTTTTCACTTTTTTTAAATCCTAACGCCTCTCTGGCTTAATCTTTTTTAATCGATAACGATATGAAAAAGTAGAATTTTCGTAGGAATTTGAATATTTTATTCGCAAAAAGCGTAAAAATACATTGTTACATTAATAAATAGGCTTTTTCATAAAACCTTTTTTAAAAATTTGTTTTTTTACGAAAAAAATTTGTATTTTATTTTTTTTTGTTTAAGAGACAAGTTAATGAAACTGGGAAAATAAAGGTAAACACTTGTACTGAAGTGGGAAAAACTCGTTTATTCAATAAATTATAATTAACTATTTTTAACAGGGGCTTGAAATAATGATAATTTCGCTATGAAAATTACTGTAAAATACCAAAAAAAATGCTTTATTTTGAAAATATCACAAGGGCGTAGCCAGGGGGGCAATGGGGGCGATTGCTTCCCCCAAAGGGTCAAGTAAAAACCGAAATACTCGGGGGCTTTCGGTTGCCGTTGCCTCTACTGACCTTTTTTTTTGGCTTTTTTGTTTCATCTGCATTGAGCCCCCCCCCCCCCCCCCCCCCCCCACACACACACACAAAGAAAACTACTGACTACGCCCCTTGTAATTAATACCATCCATTTATAAATATATATTAATTAATTTCATTAACGCAATTAAAACATAAACCTGCCCTATGCTCGTCGCATATGCGGCAAAAACAAGAGGCGCACTTTATTCGCGTGCGTGTTGCCTGCTGGCTTTCACACAGTTTGCATTTGGCCCGCGTTTCCTGAAAATACGCTTTTTATCGCAAAAATTTTCCAAAATGATGACACTTTTTTTATGACGCCGAAGCCACAGGGGTGTGCACACAAATGTGCACCACGCCTACTTTTCACTGTTTAATACACAATGGCTATATAGCTACTGACGCCAAGCAACTGCTCGACAGTTACACTAGTGTATAGACATAATTGTCGTACAAGATAGAGGGCTCTACTGTGCGTATCCTACGAGAGAGAGGCATTTGAAATTTTTGGCCTGCCCGATTTGCACCCGTGTGGTCTCAGAGGGTTAATTCTCAACACCTGTCATTCTATTTCTTTATAAAGACAATAATCTTAATCTTGGATCTTAACCTATATATAAATATTTTATTAGTAATGATATTATTTGCCACTGTCTGTTTCCGATTCTTTTTTATCACGTTTCACTAACACTTACAAAACAACAAAGGACTCCAGATAAAGAGTAATCTAAACTTTGCTACACAGTGCACGGTGAAAAACACAATGAAGGTAAATGAGATACATGCTCAAATGTACGTAACAGATTAAGCTCAAGCATGATTGCTTGTAGTACCTGAGTGAACGACTCATAAAATGAGTTTGGTAATGAACCCAATTCGGCTTCCACAAAATAACGCTGCATCCGCTGAAAACGTTTGTGTGAAAAAATACAAAGCACTTTTTAGGTTGAATTTTAGAGCAAAACTTATTTTTTTAACATATACAGAAATACATATACAACATGCAAATAATTGTATTTTATTTTTAGTTTTGAATAAAATTATACACTTAAAATATTACACAGAAACTCAACCAGTTTGTTTATCCCTAAAAGAAATCATTACTTATATAGTATGAGTACCTGTTTTAGATTAAATTATTAATCTAATCAATATTATTAAGGATGCTGAAAAACAAATATATCAACTACTGCAAGAATGTAAGCCAAATTGACTAATCCTGAAGCAGCTGTTAGCTGTGATTAAAAAAAAAAATAAAAAATTTAAACCTGGTATTACATACATTGTATTAGTCACAAGTTGCAACGTTACCTGCATAAATTTGCAGAAATCCTCACAAATGTCCAGAAGTTTAATTATTGTACTTAAAATAGGAGGAATTGTTAGCATACAGTCCTTAAGGCAACTGTCCAAAAAATCACAATGGCAAGAGAGTATTTCATCAACATTGTTCACCTAACAAAAAAAAAAATTATAAATGTACCTGGTTATATTTTGTTAGTATTTATTCTACAGAGTGACAAAAGTAGAGCACTAATTCAAAAAACCCGGAACTAGCAAGTTTTCGCAAAAAAGAAGACGAAGAAGAAGTTTTTTGGTGTTGATTTTGGTAAATCTAGTATTATTTAAGACTGAAACATAGTATTATAAAAAACTGTTACATTAAAAATAAAATGCATAAATACACCAACTGGTTCTCAAATTGCCAACCACTGATCTCTTGATAAAAAGGCAAGTCTGTCTATAAGTTTTGTGAATGACTTCTTCCATAATTTATCTAATTTCACACCATATTCTGCTTTTAAATCCTCAAAATTGTATGGTTTGGTGGCATAGACTTTGCCCCTCGATTATCTCCACAGAAAATAATCTAGATCTGGAGATTTCCGCTACCAATCCAGCTCCCAAGCAAAATTTGACTGAAGTAATATCGAACAGGTTGAGCAAAGAGGACCAATAGAGTGGCTTCCTAGACCTCCAGATCTTATACCCCTGGACATTTTGGGGATATTTGAAGGCAAAAGTCTATACCACCACACCACAAAATTTAGAGGATTTAAAGAATAGAAAACGGTGAAAAATTAGACAAATTATAGAAGTAATTCACAATGTACTCAGTGAATTTGTAGATTCACCTATTGTCAAGATACCTTAATATTGTTGATTTACCTATATATAAGATACCAATCAATTGTTGGTAATTTAAGAACTTGTTGGTCTGATTTTGGATTGTATTTTTAATCACAGTTAATTTTTAGTAATAAAAGTCTCATAATTTTAATTTCAAAATTATAAAATCAGTTTTCTAATGCAAGACAGTAAAAATATCATACAGTCATTTTAAATAATACAAGATTTACCAAAATCAACACCAATAATAAGGAATTGCTATTTGAAAAAACTGAGGATGACATCATCTCTCGAAAATATGACAATCGAACGGGATTGAAAGATAGAGATAAAAATATGGATGTTTATAATTAAAATTCACGTTTTCACGTTTTTCGACCTATTTCAATGAATAATACGGTATAAATTTAAATGAATGCATATTCGCGAGAAATGAAAAAAATAAATTTCCATGCATAGAAAATACATAATAATTAAATCCCAAACAATTCGAAAAGACTAGGAACAAATAATTCATAAAAAAAAAGCTATAAACATGAAATATATTTTTCTAATATGTTTAGCTTTTCTTTAAATTTAAGACACGACCGGATAAATACTATTTTCAAAATTAATAAAGTAACGTTTGTTTTAGTTCTAACTTCTTTTGAAAAGTTCTTATACAAAAATGCGGCCCAGTGCTGAGGGGTTGTAATAGTTTCGCTCCTGATCACAGTAGCAATGAAAGGTGTAGTGTCAAAAACAAACACACACTGAATATATAAACAAATACATATCCGTCATGTAGGTATTAGTTATTTTTCAGTTGGCAAAAAAAATGCCAACTGAAATGGTAAAATGGTAAAGCTCTTAGTAACAATTTGGGCGCATTGAATATTGATGCCCATCCAAGGAGTATTTCGGCACGTGAAATATTTTTTTTCTTGCTCAAATTGAAAGTATATAAATTTTAATGAAATAAAAACAATTCTGTACAATTTTTTCATAATTACTATGGATTTCATAATTTGTTAATGTCTAGTTGAAAGAAAAAATAAATAAAAAATCACACCACAGAAATTGGCATTCTCCCTCTTAGAGTCATTACAACTGTGCAGAGGGAGAATATACATGGAAAAGACGTAGGACACACAACCGAACCCTGTGACAGGTGGCAATTGCCACAGGTGGGATTCGAACCAGCGGATAATACCTCTTCGAGTAATTGCCATCTACTCACCTGGCGCTTTACCCACTGAGCTATTGCCGCGGCAAAAGATGCCCGAACTATTATGGGCCTGGGCTCGTATATTATTATATATGCTTTATGAACCCACAAGAAATGCAAGGCTAATTAATGATTAAATTATTTAAAACTAAAACAGAGAGCAATGCAAAAAATACCTTTCCTATTCTCTGCAAAAATGTACACCAATGAGGCTCAATAACTTCTACCATCATGTGATACTCCAGATTTTGGACGCAATGTAACATTCTTTGGCGTAAAGCAAAAGCTGCTCGATAATGTTGAGCTGCATCAAGTGGAATTTCTTTGCAACTTTATTGGACTTCCACACTTGGCAAATCATCCTTTCTATATATTTGCAATAAAACAAATGGCGAAAAATCATCTGATAGCATGCTAGCGATTTTCTGTTTAGGATGAGCGAGAGAGGCCAGTGTACCTCATATCCAAAGGAGAACGATTCGATCATTAATAATTTTTTAGGTTCAGTTGAAGACCAATATTCTAAAAAAATATAGAAATGACTGCATGAAAAACAATCGTCTAACTTATTACACATATTTGTTAATTAATGAACTCACTGTCACAGACTTTCAGTTTGGAAGTTGTAAGTAATCCATTGGTTAGCGGGAAGGGCTAGAGACCAATAACATTATACCTTTTATGATGATGGGCGGAGCCACGGCGAAGAGTGTAATGTTGGTTTATTAGTCCTTCCCCGCAGCCAATGATAACCAAAGTGGTCTATATGGACCCCCAGGGGTTCATCTGAGCGAAAAAATAGAATTGGGGTCTATGAAATGTAAACGGGGTCCACGATAGTGGATCTCATTTAAGCAGGTCGCGACTTTAATTTTGATTTTCCATTAATGTTATAACCCACACACAAAGACGGCTTGTTGCTTAGTTTTTAGCTGAAAACATAACACACAGACCGACGACGATTAGTGCGAAATTGTACTGTTAAATAATTGTAATGTAATGTAAATAAATAGTAATGTTAGGAATGAACACGTTCATTTGTTCCCAAAAGCGTTGAAAAAGAAACTACTTCTTATTAAGAAAATATTTTTAAAAGTATAAACTATAATCAATGTAATTTTGTTTGGGATTGCCAGAAGAAAGTAAGTACATATTTTTTTCATAACATTTGTTTTTTATTGGTAGTTAAGAAACTCTCTTGGTATGGTAATCTATTATATCATTAATTTATCTTAACTGACAGACAACCTGGTAATAAGGTAACGTATTTTGAAAATAATAGTGAGTTGATTTGACAAACAAAACAATTGTGAAACTTTGTTTACTAGGCGTTAACGCAGCTTTCCAGTCAGGTCTTTTTACATTATTTCTATAACTAACATAAATATTTTAAATAGCTCAATTTTGTTCACAGGTAATTGACATTAAACATGGCCGAATCTAAAAAAAAAATGTAGACAATACAATTATTTGAAATTTAGCTTCATTCCTTCCTTGTCATTGCCTATGTGCCTTTTATGCAACAAAGTTTTAAGCAATGACGCTATGAAACCATCTAAGCTGGAGGATCATTTGAGAAGATGTCACCCTGATAAAATAGGTAAAGATTTGAAATACTTTCAAACACTCAAAGATAAAGTTCAGAAGAGACCCACAGTGGACAAACTGTTCGCTTCAACATCACAAAGACTTAATGATGGTTTGTGAGTGTCTTACACTATCTCGCTACTTATAGCAAAATCCGGAAACCGCATACTATCAGAGAAAAGTTAATATTGCCAGCCATTGAAGGAATTTTAAAAACTGTATTGCAGAAACTTGCATCTGATATCATTAAAAGAATTCCTTTAAGCAACAACACAGTTCAAAGGCGTATTGATGAAATTGAAAGCTACTTGAAATTGAAAAACATGGCAAGTGATCTACAGACAAAATAGTTTGGGGACCTCTGCTTTAACCAATGGATAACTTACATCAACTTCTCAATCGAAGGTCTGACTTTGCTAATGGTGTACAATATAAATACATATAGTTAGTTGTAAGCAACAATGGAATTATAAGAAACTAAAATTAAAAAACAACATATTTAATTAAGACAACTTTAGATTATGTTTGGCTTAACATTTAATGTATTCTTACCTTGCTCTGAATTAGTCTGAATGCTCAATATCTTAAACATCTGAAATTGTAAATCATATGGCAACAATTCGGTCTTCAAATCTTCCTTGTATGGATCACTTATGGCACTAGACAGTCTTAAAGCTAGATCCATTAACGATTCGATACAACCTTGATTCACATCGACAACATATTTTCCAAACTCTTTCTCACACAATGCCAAAAATGTAACTATAAAGTCTCCCTGATCCAAGAGGAAATAATGTTTTACAGACCTTAATCTTCCTATGAGATCCTTTTCTTTTTATAACTAAATCTAATAGTGTTTGACTAGCAAATACATAAGCTTTCTCTATGGCCTCAATATACTGTTTTTTCTTCTATCTTGTACTGAATTGGAATTACTTTGTTTTTCACAGGTTTCCCTGGAAGTAAAAATCAAATATACATACTAGTATCTTACACTAAGAGTTACACTAAGGACAAAATAGTACTAGGTATTGATGAATTTATAATTTTAAAAATTCAAAAACAAAAACAACAAATAAATTTAAAAAATAAATATTTTTTTAATTTCACACATGAATTCATACAATAGTGGGTAAAAAATATTGGTGGATAGCTAGTATGAATTTTGTTATGAATTTTGCCTTGAATAACTGACTTTTCTACTTGAAACACTTTTATTAACACTTTTCAAAGGCTCAACTTCGGTTTAGAAAAATGGATAAAAGGGGTCGTATATATTTTTCGATAGCGAGGGTCCCTTGAGTACAGCGGCACAAAATTTTTTTTCAGGAAACGACCCCTAAAAAAGATGAATTTTTTTAAATCCCATGTTAAGTCTACGTGAACTTTTAATTAGCAATAGTAATCAGAGACGGTGATACTAGGAAATTCCTGCGCATGCACAGATTAGGAAGGGGAAAGATGCGTCTGTCTTGGACCAAATAATGATATTTGATATATTTCAGTTGTACCTCATTTATTAAGTTTATACAGGATAGGTTAGGTTAGGTTACATTATATTACACAGCTCCACAAAAAAAAATCGTTTGCAGGGGTCTGACTATGTATACTATATGTTTTTGGTCGCTGAAACCGAATCCGAAGTCCAAATTGCTCCATCAGATCCGGTTCTTTTCCTAACCTCAAAAACTGGCCTAAAACCATGAAATTCAAGCTAAAAATTATATAGTAATTTGATAAAAACCCTAACTATGAAATATGACGAAATCCCATAATCATATATTTCATCAATTACATAACTATATAATCTCAAAACTCCATGACTTTAAGCCCTATAACCTCAAAACCCAATAACCTTATGATTCTAAAACCCCATAACTCAGTAAAAATGGGACTTATACGCGCTTAAGCAGTGTAAATCGATATGTTTGAAACGGATTTGCCCTTCAATCCCAGTACCACTTAACCTCAAAACCGTGTGATCCCAAAACCTCATTACCTCAAAAAATAAAGTGACCAGACATCCGTCATTATGACGGACAGTCCGTCATTCAGAAAGCTTGTCCGTCTTCAAGAGTAGTCCGTCAAACTGTCCGTCATTGAATTTTTTTATTAAATGTCCGTAATTACGTCTTCTAGGTTAATCTGAAGACGTATCGACGTATCTGATCGATCGTGATTAAATATTAGTATTTCAAAAGGCATCAAATTCCAAAAAGTATCCTTGTGAAAGTTTATATTTTTATGTAAATGTATTTTTCATTGAAATTCTGAAGTGCTAGGACAACGCGTGACCTTGAAAGTTTTTAAAAATTTTCGCCTGCGGCGCTATTGGCCTCGCACCTAGCGGCGCGAAAAATTAACTCTAGCTTCGTCCGTCTTTGGCAAGATCAAAATCTGGTCACTTTACTCAAAAATCCCATAACCTTGTGATTGAAAAACTTTATAAACCAGTAAAAGAGACTTATACGCATTCAAAGCAGTGTAAATCAATACATTTGAAACGGGTGTGCCCTTCAACCTCTTGAAGTTTTCAAGATTATGAAGTTTTAGGATCACGTGATTTTGAGGTTGAGTGGTAGTGACGTTGAAGGGCACACCCGTTTCAAACATATTGATTTACACCGCTTGAATGCGTATAAGTTTCTTTTTTTACTGGATTGTAAGGTTTTTCAATCACAAGGTTATGGGATATTTGAGGTTATGGGGTTTTAGGATCACGCGGTTTTAAGGTTAAGTGGTACTGGGATTGAAGGGCAAATCTGTTTCAAACATATCGATTTACTCTGTTAAGCGCGTGATAAGTCTCTTTTTTACTGAGTTATGGGGTTGTAGAATCATAAGGTTATTGGGTTTTTGAGGTTATGGAGCCTAAGGTCATGGAGTTTTAAGATTATACAGTTAGTGGAATTGATGAAATATATGTTTATGGGATTTATATATTTCATAGTTTGGGTTTTTATCAAATTACTATATAGTTTTTTGCTTGAATTTCATGATTTTAGGCCTGTTTTTTGAGGTAGGAAAAGAACCGGATCTGATGGAGCAATTTGGACTTCGGATTCGGTTTCAGCGAGACAAAAAACATATATTGCCAAGTAAAAGTTCCAACACAACATGGGATATAAAAAAATTCATAACTTTTTTGATAGGTTAGGTTAGATTAGGTTATATTATGTTATTGTAAGTCATGCATATTATCACCTATATATCTTACTAGGTTAGGTTGTGTTAGGTCAATATTGTAGTTTCTTGGCGCCATATTGTCAAGTAAAAGTTCTAATTGACAACATGGGATGTAAAAAAATCATCTTTTTTTAGGGGTCGTTTCCTAACAAAAAAATTGTGCCTCTATACTCAGGGGATCCTCCTCTATCGAAATATATATACGACCCTAAATTTATCCATCTTTCTAAGTCTTACCCTTTGCAACTCCTCAATTACAACTCTATAACATT